TGCTGAAAAGCTCTATGGAGATGAGGAATTCATTTTCCAGCATGATCTGGCACCTGCCCACAGTGCCAAAACCACCAGTAACTGGTGTACTGACCATGGCATTACTGTCCTCGATTGGCCTGCAAATTCCCCTGACCTGAACCCCATAGAGAATATGTGGGGTATTGTGAAGAAGAAGCTGAAAGACACCAGACCCAACAATGCTAATGAGCTAAAGGCCGCTATTGAAGCATCCTGGGCATCCATAACACCTCAGCAATGCCACAGGCTGATTGCCTCCATGCCACGCCGCATTGATGCAGTAATCCGTGCAAAAGGATTCCCAACCAAGTACTGAGTGCATTAATGGACATTTTCAAATGTTTGATTGTGTTTTGCTGTTATAAATCTTTTTTTTTTACTTGGTCTGAGGAACTATTCTAATTTTTTGAGATAGGATTTTTGAGTTTTCTTAAGCTGTATGCCATAATCAGCAATATTAAAATAATAAAAGGCTTGCAATATTTCAGTTGATTTGTAATGAATCCAGAATGTATGACATTTTTGTTTTTTTAATTGCATTACAGAAAATAAAGAACTTTATCACAATATTCTAATTTTCTGAGACAGTCCTGTAAATGAGTATATTGCAAGATGACAACAGGAATCACATATTTGACTTGCAATCACTGTGAACTAATAAACTGAGGTGAACAGAGAATACAGTCTTTAGTCTTTTCTGAGGATGCGTCTTCATTTAAGAAAAATATTTTCAAATTAAAAGCCTTTGAAAAAGCCTTTATATTTATTAAAAACAAACAAAAAGTAACTCAGATAGTTAAGTATGTAAGACAAAGTTGATGTTAATTGATGACATTAGTATCTAGAAAGGTTGATTAAAAAATAAACAGCACATGTTTTTCTGTCCTAGGCCTGAACCAACCAATTTCTTAATAAAAAATAACGCCTCAGTGAATGCGGTGGACAAAGTTAACAGGAACACTCCGCTCCACTGCGCCGTGCTGGCAGGAAACGTGGACGCTGCCCACATCCTGTTGGAAGCTGGAGCCAGCGTGGATGCGGAAAACCTCAACGTAAGTTTGACTCACACTGAGAGCGACACGTATCTCTGTCAGCTCTAAGTGTTAAAACTGAGAAATAAAGGCTTCAATGTAACCCTCTGGCGTCAACAGTGAATCTATTCTGCACTTTGTTACGATTGCAACATTTTGAAGACATTACAAGGACTCTTAAAGATCAACTTGCAGGTTAGAGACCCCAGTGAATAAATGTGTAGGGAAATGATGTATACACTAGATTTTCAAAGAGATATACAGAAATATACACTACAGTGACATCTGGCGTCGTTTTTGTAAGACATTTTTACTTCCGCATAAAAAAAGACCACCCGCGTGTGACGTCACATGAGGCAGAGCGGCCGAACGTATTAATAAACATGGATCACAATGCTAGTTTTCACACAGAAGAGGTTGAAAATGTATAATGAGCCTGCTAGGCAGCCAAGAGACTAGGAGCAGCCAAGGATTAGAAAAAATAACCGGCGTTAGCTACAGTTAATGTTAGCTAATGTCGGTCACAGGTGATTGGATCAATCACCTTCTATCATGGGCCACTTCTGATGCGCAGTACCGATCGGGCAGGGGGACAGATCGGGAAGTGACAGTCACTGTCACTACCTGATCTGCAGCTCTGCCCGATCTGCAGTGCGCATGTGCGAGGTGGTCCGCCATATTGGAGAACTCCGGACGGCAACCCAAGAAGGACACTTGACACAGTGGCTTTTAGCAAAGCTGAAAAATAAAGAGAGAGAGAGATGAGTTATTGTTATTACAATGTGACTTCACTATTATTTAACAACTCTTTTTATTGGGTTCTTTTATTTGGGGTTATGTACATTGTCAGAATAAGTGAGAAATTAATTTAACTTCTGTTAGACAGCCATATGCCATACATTTTTGCATACATTCACAGTAAATATTTATTCACTATGATAGCTGTTTAACAGAAGTTCAATTCATTTCTCACTTATTCTGACAATGTACTTAACCCCAAATAAAAGAACCCAATAAAAAGAGTTGTTAAATAATAGTGAAGTCACGTTGTAATAACAATAAACTCATCTCTTTTCGAAGTTTTATTTTTCAGCTTTGCCAAAAGCCACTGTGTCAAGTGTCCTTCCTGGGATGCCGTCCGGAGTTCTCCAATATGGCGGACCATCTTGCACATGCGCAGTACATATCGGGCAGGGGCACGGATCGGGTAGTGACTAGTGACAGAGGGGAGTCGAGGAGGGGTATTGGGATGAGGCTAATATTTTTCCGAAATAAGGTCCCATGGACCGGAAGTAGATGGGCGTGACTTTGTCACTCTATATATCACGCAGTCTGTCTTCCGGTTGCCTCTTTTGAAAGACGAATACACACTACCGCCGCCTGCTGCTAAGGAGAGTTATTGCCACTCACGCATGCGCAAGTGCGTACGTGCTACTTGGCCGTCGGCGGAAGTCTTTGCGGTGTGTTCCAGTGCGACTTTTTTGCCAAGACTTGAGGTGAAACAACAGTCGGGTCCGTCGGGACGTGTTCTTTGATGTCAGTTTGGTGTGTCAGGGCCTTTAGTTTCATTTGTAATACTTGAATAATTATGTCACAAGCATTGCTTTTATTTTACAGACAAGAGAAGTTAAAGCCCAAAGAGTCGGATACATAGTTAGATACAGATAAAACCCCCCACTGCACATACACTGAAAGCAATACTATCTGTTATTTCCAATTGAATGAATGGTGAAGCATTTCTTCTTCTGTGTTTTCCACTTTAGGGTCACACCCCCATCGACTTGGCCCACCAGGTGCACAGCCCTCTGCTCATCCACATGCTCAACCACGTCAAACAGGAGAGGATTCGCTCCAACTCGCGCTGCCTGCGGATCGTCAACAGATACAGGGTAAACACACACTAAAGACCACCCCCATAACATCTTAAATTACAAACATTTTGATGAAAATAAATCTCCAGTATCTTTGTAGAGAACTATCCTAAGCTGTAACACCTTCCTGCATTTCCAGGTCTTTCTACAGTTTCTGCTCTGCACAGCTGTTTTTGGCAGTGTGGGTGCCATAGTAGATATGAACTCTGAGTCCTGGCTGCTCAAAGGGGTCCTGCTGGCCTGCGTGATAGGGGTGCTCAATTTGGCTGCAAGGTAAGGACACTTTTCTACTGAGCTTCATGTAAAAGAAGAAAGGATTTATAACAGCTTAAAAATACATTCTGCAGTGTCCCACCCATTCATTCATAACGTTGACGGACGTTATGTCCTGCATGAAACTTGACCAGTTGAAATTGGTAAATTGGAAGTTGTTTAATGAAAGTGTGCACTAAAATTGGCAACAAACAGCCACAATCAAAACAAAAGGCCACAAAGGCACCGGTTTCAATAGAAACACATAGTATATTAAAAAAAATATATATATATATATATATATACAACTAAACAAAAACTAACAAACACATGATATATAAAAAATATATATATTAAAAAAATATATTTTATATATCTTTTTTTAAACGCCTTGAATTTCAGGGGGGGTGCAGGGCTCCGTTGGCGGGGCGCAGCGCCCCTCCAAGACAATGGTAGGGGAAACACTGGATATGTATTACATGCATATATTCATTCAACAATGTTTCTGGTAATTAATCGTGTGTATGAGGCTCACTGGCAGTGAATGTAGGGGATTACTTTAGTCGTTATTATTGTTTGTTTTATGTTTTTCTTGGTACAATCAGTACAAACCACCGTCTCATATATTTTGCTTTCCATTTCTAAATGACAAAAACTGGTTATGCATTGTCGTAACTCAATAAAACGATTTTTGATCTAAAAATAAACATTCTGCTTCAGGTCCCGTTTGCCTGCTGCTAACAGGTTGTATGTGGTTTAATAAGAAATGTTTTTTTTCTGAACAGGAACTTCCCAAGTCCTGGCTTCCAGACCCTCCTCCCTGCCACAGCTCTCATGGCCTCAGTGTTCTGGATGATCGTCACCTGGTGCCTCTGGTTCCTGCCAGATATCCTTTTTTGGAAGTAAAGATAAAACAGCTATCATGTGATGTTCCCTGCAAATAAGGGTTTGTTTGGCATTTCTGTTACCTCTGCTGTTTGCTGTTTTATTATTTTGATCAAGCCCATGAATGGAGAGTTTCTTAACCTTTGACCCCACATGGGCCCAGTGCCACGGCTCAGGCTTTGTTCACTGTGAATGCCACCGCTCTGCTCTACTTTTATCTCCGCACCTGCAGGACCGACCCAGGCTCCATCAAGGCAACTGAAGAAGAGAAGAAAATGGTGAGAGGGACATTATAAGTTGACTCTGCATACAATGATCTTTATAAAACATTTTATGACAAATTAGCTGGGTTTTGTTTGTTTGTGCCTTCAGAATGTGTTGGTGTTGGCTGAAGCCGGCGGCCTGGAACCCAGGATATTCTGCACGTCCTGCATGGTGAGGATCTGAACACAAACACTTTATGCAACTCTGGTCTATCAACGCAAGCAGTGCAGCTTATTGTGTTTGTTATTGTTTTCACAGATTAAGAAACCGATGAGAACGAACCACTGCTTTAACTGTGACGCCTGTGTGGCCAAGCAGGACCACCACTCCATCTGGACCAACGGCTGCATCGGTACGACTCCTCGGAGCAAGTTACCAGGCATTAGAGAAGATACATTAATGACGTGTTTTGTTACATGAACATCATCTTCAGAAAGTGTTATTTTAGAAAAATGTGATTATATTTACCCGTGTAGGTAAATAAAAAACAAATAAAATAAATATTAACGTAATAAAACAGTAATAGCAGCAAATAAAATAATTGGAACTTAAAATTGTATTAAATTAAATAAAAAATGTACACACTTGAGAATAATGGTATAAATATAAAAACATGTTAAATATTTGTTTCTCTAATAGTGGAGGTGCTTTATTTAGGGCCTGAAAAAGTTTAATTTGCATCAAAATTCACACTGTGGTAAAACTGGACCATTGACATACTCTATCTGTGTCAAAAAAAAGATTATTTTCATATACAGTAGGTACTGTAAGGATGATCTTAAAAAAGGCTGCTTATATAACTAATGTGTGCCCAAAGAAAATCTTTGATATAATAAGAAAAAATCCCCTTTCTGCTTTGTCTTCCAGGTGCGAGGAACCACCACTACTTCATCCTCTTCCTGTTCTCCCTCATGCTGATGGGGGCCTGGATGTTTTACGGTTGCCTCAAATGTTAGTACTTTTGCATTTGGTGTAATAACAGACTCTGACGCAGTATACACTCCTCTTGATACACATGCTGTGCTGTGTGTGTTTTCCAGACTGGGCGACTCACTGTGTGCTGCATTACGAGGAGCAGGGCCTGTGGGGGGTGGTCTCGGTGCTGGTCACCTGCTCCCCCTGGCTGCTCGGCGTCTTCCTGCTCGCCTTCTACCACACCTGCTGGTCCGGCCTAATGCTGCTGCTGCAGCTCTACCAGGTGACCGCAAAGATCCTATCAGGAGTGTCCCTCCAGACGGAGTTTTGTCTCCAACACATATCCCGCACCCCCCACCCCGCCTTAAACGCCTCCATTGGACACCTTTGTTTACTTCTGTAACATAGAGACATCACTGTGACACTCACACTTCTATTGGATAGCTTTTAAACACATTGTACGTGCTGGTCTAAGGGGCGGGACATCTCTAAGCAGTTGACCAATCACAACATAGCCGACCAGCTAACCAATCAGAGGAGACTGGGCTCTGGTTTCAGACAGAGGGTGAAAAGAGGTGCTGCAGTATGAGACAAATAAAGACCTTTTTGAACATTAAAGATGTAACGATCACTGTCTTTTCATCTCTGAAATGTTCAAATGTTGCATATAAAACCATTTAGAGTTCGATTGGAAATGTCTCCTCAGTGTTTGATGTTTTCTTTGTGCCAGAGCAGATTGCCTTCCTGGGACTGACCACAGCAGAGCGGACCAGCCTGACGATGCACCAGAGGAAACAGCGACAGCCCGTCCCCCTCAAACAGAATCCATACAAGTGAGTTCATATTACTGACGCCACTTTGTCATCATCATCCTTTTCAACGATTTTACTGAGCGCTGCTCTTTGATGCCAATGATTTCTTTCCGGTGGAAAACACTTTAAATCTATATGTGACTTCAGAGGATACATGTCTTTAGTTAATGACTGAGTTTAATTAGGATGCAGGGGATCTTTGTGTGTTTTTAGTCAAGGTCTTTGTATTAATGCATGTCTTCTTGCACATTCCCCCTGATTCATTATCAAACACACAGTGCCAAACACTCTATTCAGTATCTATGGAACTACAAGCGGCAATACTAAGTGGCTTCCCTAAAAAAGTGTGACAATCCGTTACAGTGAGCCAAATAATAATAAGATGGAATGAAAGAGCTTGAATACGCTTAGTTTGTTGGGCCTTGAACATATGGAGCTCTGCTTTGGAAGTTAACTTTAGAAATTATTTTTATAAAAGTCCAGTGATTTGTTAAATAAGAAGAAGACAGAGTTATTATACCAAATGGACATGGACATCATTGAAAGCTTGCAATGCTGGACTTACTACTAGGTTAAAGGATGGCACATTCATATTAAGGTTTTATAAACATGAATCAATGTTTTTTATACTCTTTCAGCACCATCAGTTCAAAACATGCTTTATATTTCCCTAAAGATGCAAGTTTCAGGCAACACATACAATTCCAAAAATATAAATGAGTACAGAAAAACACATTTTAAATATCATTGCTAGACATGAACCGTGTGAACAATATTGCACACCATGACGGCATTTTATATCAAAAACATATTTTATTTAGTCACCACTCACTGATCCCCCTCTCCTGATTGGTGTGTCTGCAGTTTGGGCGTGATGAGGAACCTGGCGTCGTTCTTCCAGCTGCGCTGCTGCGGCCTCTTCAAACCGGCCATCATCGACTGGACGCAGCAGTTCCCCCCCGGCCGCGACCAGCACGGGTTCGGACACACCGACTTGGTCTGACCCCTCCCTGCCACCCCACTCTCAGGGTCAAGGGTCGGACTCTGACAGTGGTTCTGAACCAAAAGCACAAAGTGTATTTATTTATTTTTTTAAAGGGTTGGCTCCATGTGAAGAGAGAAGTTGGGAAACACAAGGCATCGTGTAGATATCATTTGTTCCAGTTGCTCTTTGTAAAGACTGCTGCTGCCTTATACTTGACCAATGTAAGTGAAATCACACAAATGTGTTAATTTTGGTGAGGTTCAAAAACCTTTTAAAGGCCTAAATTGTAATTGAAGTTAGGAGATGTTTTTATAAACACATCAAGCCTATTTTGTATCATGTTCTGATGGAAAGAAGGACCTTTGTATGTGTAAACAGTTGGTTTTATGACTTTTGTAAGAGTTGCATGTTTGATAACAAATACCACTATTCAGTAAAGCAATGTTGTGCCTGTCTTCTTAACTGGCTCTGTGTGGACAATCAGGCCTTTACATACAGGGGTGGACAATATAATAGAAACACTGTAAATCAGTAAATATCTATGTGTCGAGGCTCATAAATGTCAAGCTTTTGCAGATTGTTTAACCCTGGTCATTTTTCAACCCTGATTTTGAAGACTTCCTAACCAGAAAGAACCTATTCTTGACTTTTTTGCAGCATGACGTGTCACCATCAACCGACCTGACAGTCACAATTTTGTCTTCAAAAGTCTATTTACTTATATTTTGTATTAAAATTGAGACACATGTCTTTGTTTCATATGAAATTAGTATGTTAAGGTAGCCCCTAAAGGCACACTCTTTGCTCTGAATGGTTTCCTCCATGTTCTCATCACTGCTAATTTGATAGTGCCAGATAACGGCTCTAATTTTAGCTTGACAAAAACATCTAATCCTGTTACGCTCTGCACGGCTGCTCACACATAATTGTTTGGGAAAACTAACACATTCCATTGGTTAATCACTTGTTGCCCTGATAAATGTAATTAATTATGGCAAAGAATTATTTATGAATGCAAAAACAATTTGATAAATAATTACCTTTAACAAAATGAGATTTTCTTCTCAGCGGTAAGGAAATCATTTAATTGACTAATAGGCAGGGTTGGGCAAGTTGTAATCATCAAAACTATAATAAGTTATTTTACATACAAAAGGATTATCTAATTATTTTAATTATGAGTGGTTCCTATTCTTTTCTGCGTGTGAGGTACACTGGACCACAGACTGCATTTCAATTCTTTCTTCACTTTAATAAAGAATAAATCAATTCAGGATACATTTTAGGGTAACAAAATCATTTTATTGTGTACTCACAATGAACACAAGTATTATTAGTTAATCTCTAATAGTGACCTTAAATATGCCTCGACTCAGCTGTTATTTGACCCGGCCAGGTGCTTCAATCATGTATTACAAATATCATCCAGTGTATGGCTCCATTGAAACAGCTGCCGTGTGACAGTGATGTGAACTTTAAACCAGAATGGTTCACTGCTGTTACCCCAACATGGCGGCGTTCCCCAGTCCAAATCCTTTAGGGCCGAAGTGCTTGGCGTAACAAACTGAAGAGAATTTTGAAAAACAAGAATACATTTAGTTATACCACAAATAGAAATGCTTCCTGTTCTATAAAACAGTTGTAGGGTTGTAACTGCCATTTTTATTACTGAAAAACTAGGTGTGTGTGTGTGTGTGTGTGTGTGTGTGTGTGTGTGTGTGTGTGTGTGTGTGTGTGTGTGTGTGTGTGTGTGTGTGTGTGTGTGTGTGTGTGTGTGTGTGTGTGTGTGTGTGTGTGTGTGTGTGTGTGTGTACCTTTACAGTACAGCTCTCCCTCCTTGTCTGTCACTGTGGTCGAATCCAGACTTTTAGCACACAGAGCGCAGCGGAAACAGGTTTTATGCCAGGGCTACGCACACACACACACACGGTTATTATACAAGTATTATGTAGCAAAAAATAAAGGTTAAGAAATACTTTCTTCTAAACTGAACAAACTTGATCTTAAAACCTATAAACTTTGTGAAGGTGACACTACAGTTAGCGATGTAGGGAAACTTTTTGATAACTTCAAAATGTACATTTTCAAACACAGTTAAAACTGGAGAGTACATAATAACAGGACATTTACAATTTAAGTTGTCCAATTTTAAATGAATTGAAAGTACATTTAGTCATACTGGAAAGGTAATGTGACCATATCCTCAGAGGAAAGGTCATTAAGGTCACAAGGATTTATGTTATTGGGTCCTAAATGATCTGCAGTTGATTTCATTAAATATTAGGGCCTACAATTCTGTTTTAATTGTCTAATAGTCAGGTTGGTTGTTTTTAGACATTTTCTAGCTTGTGTGCAATAATGTATTGGGCCCAGAATGTTACTGTTACAGTACGAATGCATCATGATTGCATATAACCAATTGTCCCATTAGTATAGACTTCTCGTGCTGGCTGTTACAAATCCCTGAACTGAGTCCCAGCTCCGTCAGCATCTCGTTACCCCATCATGGCTGACAGTGTCTGCAGCTGTCTGCACTCATTCAGCCTTTCTCAATCAGATCGTCAGCCTTTGGGAGTTCATCACCTTCAGTCTATTTGAGTGCAATGACTTTGCCACAGAGTTTCTACTAGTGTTGAATAATTTTTGCTGTGGTTTTGGTTCCTGCCTGCAACTGCCCAGTAAATAGAGCTTTAGTTAGAAGAGCTACTGCCTTTTCTGTCTGTCCCTAAGCAAAGCTCCTTATTCTCTGCTCCTGTTTCACCTCTTGTTTGGGCTCTAAGAACACCTTGGTAGTTTTATGGACAACAATGAAAACACTTTTTAAAGAAGCATCCTGTCTGGTGCTAGTGCCACAGGACAGTAACAACAACAACAATGAAGTATAATCCATCGAAAAAGGTTGTATAAATACAATTACAACAGACTACTGCTTACCTTCCCTGCTCCCATCACCTTCTCTGCTGCGTAGACGGCTTTAGAGCAGCGAGGGCAGCGGTCTGAACATCCAAACTTCTGGGAGGATTTATTCTCACTAGAATTTGAAGAAGCTGGTCGTGGTTTAGTCCTAGAAAAAATAATTTAAAACAAAAACATTTGTAATGATCTCAGGTCACTAGAGTTTGACTTTCGTACTTGTAGTTTGATTATTGTGGGTTTTTGACATGTTATATACACCATTACTTTTATATATTCAATAGTTTTTCACTCATGTCAGAGTGGAACTTTCTCTGAAAGAGCAATAAGACATCATGGTAGCTACACTAAAGTTTATTTACTTGATTTTTCCTTAAATGTAGAAGATAAACAGCATTAAGTTTAAGACTCAAATAGACACTTTTCTGCAGCTGTGTTTAGAACGGAACCTTCTTCATACTGGAGAATGATTCGTTTAACTAGTTTGACTTTCAATCATTTAAGGTTTAGTCCTCCAAAAATGATGATGGCGCAGGTTGAAATGCTACGGGTGGATATCTTAAATAATGTGCCCGTAAAAACCCCTATGTGGCTCAACACCATTCACTCTAGATGTGGGTGGAATGACCCTTTAATGACAACCCAGGCTCCTGTTTCTAACCGCAGTGAACACATACTCTTGAGGCTGCAGGCCGGCATATCGAGGAGGGTCTGAGCTCAGAGCTCCAGCTCCTTGCCCGTATCCATAGCCTTTGGGCCCATATTTCTTGCCATAGCAGGACTTGCAGTAAATCTCAGACTCATGTGCTGCAACCGTGGTGCTGTCCAGCCCTTTTCTGCAGCCCACTGTGTGAAAGAAACACAAACACACTAGACATTTGCATCATTTGTTGTCTGACCACAAGGCTAGGGAGAATGGATTCAGTTTGCCTAGTGGGGAGTGTCATGGTGGAGTCATGGAGGGTAAATACAGCTCCCACTTAGCTGGTTTTATCAGTCAACAGTGACATTACACAAAGACAGATGTCTTGTGCTTCTATTTGTAGGAAGAGGAGAGGGTGTGGGGTGAATGTTTGAGAAAAGATGAACACTTAGCATGATGGTTGAGCTAATAGCAGGCTTTTAGAGCTCCCACTGGAACAATCCAGCATGTTACCAGCTGGTGGGGGTTTGAAGAAAGCAATAAGAACATGAGGTGTGGCTTGATTAGACAACTGCAGCTGGTGAGGGACAAAGGAGTAAGAACTTAAACTGTATCACAGCAGGAGAAATTCAAGTCATTACAGACGGTCAAACCAAAGGATAGGAGGGGGAACTCCACCGTCCAAGTCCAAGAAAGGCTATTCAATAACTACAACAGATTGGATGAGGAAAAGGAAATGTCTATAGAGTAAATGTAATTTAATGAGAGAATATGGCCAGTACTTGATTAACTGTGAAAAGAAAAGAGCAGCAATAGGAGGTTGAATTGTAAAAAGAGTGAGATTATTTTTATTAAAATATAGAGATGAGGGAAAAGAGGAGATGAAGTAAGAAAAACGATGGGGGGAAGGGAAAGAAATAGCAGTAACAAAGCCAGGAGAAAAGAAAGGAAGTAGGCAGATTAGAAATACATAGATCTTTGAAAGAAACACAAGTAAAAAGAAGAGGAAGAAAAGAGACTGATTTGAACACAATTTCAATCGAACAAATAACATTAAAAATGTGAACACATAAAACTAAAAGCGGATTTACTGAAGAAGAAGAAAGTGATTCAGATAGAGGCTAATGTGCTGCTGTGTGAGTCTTCTGACAGTTCAGAAGCAGATGGCCCCTTGATGTGTCAATAAGAGCAAATGGGACTGAAACAATGTTACTCTGCTGATCTAACATGACACACTACACACTGGTCCAGCAAAGAGAGGGGCTCACTGCAGATGAAGCAGGTCTTATGGAAGCTCCGGCCGTTACACTGGACCTCCTCTGCATGGTACACTGTCTTCTCACACGCCGCACACTTAGCTCCACCTCCCAAGTTTGGCATCTTAGAAAAACAAAATAAAACAAGCTTAGAGCTGCAAATAACTACTAATTTTTTCATTGAAGATTACTGACTCTCAAATGTGAAATAGTCTAATAGGGCCTGACCAACCAATAATGGTCATTAAAGATTACTCTTGCTTTTTGTGTAAATCATTTAATCAAGTGAAGTAATAATATTGCATCATAATGTATCTTAGTGTCTTCAAATCCCTTATGTCTGACCAACCAACAAAAAACTCAAAGACATTCAGTTTTATTATATGAAACAGCAGAAAAACTGATTTTCTTTTAAATTTCAGAAGCTGAATTGAGAGTGTTAAAGCATACTTGCTTATAAACATTTTTTGAAAATGTATCATAATGTTTTAAGTACGTTTTATAAAGTAATTGTTCCATCTCCGAAATAAGCGATCTGCACCACCAGGATTGTGGGTTGAAAATGATTCTAGCCAAAATAATGCTTTCAGAGTTCAAATTGAAATCAAAAATAGCATATCTTACCATACCATACATTCTAAAAACCTAACCACACCTCATTGTGATGTATTGACCTCCTGTGCCTTTGTCTTTCTTACTTTCCAGTCTGATGATTTAAAAGTCTCTTACAAAGCGCGACTTGAATTTCCCCATCAGTTTTAAAGCTTCTCATCTCAATCTGACTCTATTGTCAGCCGACATTCCAGTTCCGGCTCATATCAGAGGCTGCCCATCATCTCACAGGACTGGAATGTGATATTCTGGGAGCAGAGGCTTTAATGGGACCTCAGACAGACAAAAGACACTCCATCAAATACTACTGGAAATTATTCTACTCCAGATAAATCTGCCATATCACACTTGCCCATTGTTTCAATTCAAAATAGGCAATGTACGATAAAATAAATGTAATTTACATCTATGAAAACTAAAATAAAGAAAGATGAATTAGCCCCAAGTTGTACCCTAACTGAACTACGAACAGGAAATGTTTACTACAAAAATAAATCGGTCCTTACCTTGAATCACGGCCTGTGTGCTTCAGTGGCAGTGAATGCATCCCAGGCGGTTTATATACTGCCTGTCTCGCCATCACCGCAGTCCACTGGTGACGCTAAAATGACAATATCCTCCTAAAATAACTTGTGACAGCAGAGTCCTCTGACCCTTCACCACTTAAAGAGGTCTGAACATCAGCCAGGCTAACATTTGTTCAGGACTCACAGGCAGACACCGGAAACTCTAAACAGGACTCTAAAGACAGCTGGGAGCAAGGAGTTATCCACATGGTTATGGGATTATGTATGACGGACGGGAAAGCAACTGCATATCTGACTGTGATTACATCTCTTTAGATACATGAGTGACCATATGATGCTCATTACACACCAGAAGGCAAAATAGCTTCTTGGTTAAATGAAAACTGTAGTTTGTTGTGGGTTAAATGTTAAGGGTTCTCCAGAAGAGAGCCAGTGTTGACACCTACATCAAAATGGTTAACCTGTATGGTGTCCATTTTCAAAGTTGTCCCATCCAAAAGATGTTTTACTAGGGGTTTAACAATCCATCGATCTGTATTGATTCAATGACCAATGACTCGTACTCCTAAAAAAACTCTGATACATATCAACTCTAGGACATTTCTATACATATATATATATATGTACAATTTTATTTTCATCAAAAATCAAAGTCAAATCACGTTTTAGTTATTTTTGATTAAATATAAATGTAACATCTTGTCTCAAATTAATACCAGCCTGCTGAATCAAATTTGCATCTTGGCAGACTTTTCTAGTTTCACAAAGAATTGACATATTGTATCGTGAAGAGACTTGTGATTTACACGCCTAAATTGTAAAGAAATATTTTAGCCATGCGAGTAAAACATCCTGTTTCGTGACCTCTGAATCACTTGCCACATCCATTTGTTCAGCTATTCAAATAAAAGGTAAAACACAATGGAAAATGTGTAATCGGGTGAGGAAATAAACAGCTAGTCATATTTATGGTTGAAAGTGAGATGTAGGGACTTTCTGACGCATCTACCTTTAAAGATTTAAATAATACTTACAACTCCCACTTACACTTAAATTCAAGACTTTTTACAAAAAACAGTTTTTTAATATGACAATTTGCTGCTTATTTGCATTTGATGATTGTAAACAGGGTCAACCTGTTTAGTCAAAAATCATGCAATGTAACCTAGAGCACTGGGAATTAGGGATCAGTATTTTAAATTGTATAGATCAAACAATCGTAGTAAAAATAATAAAAAGTTTCATCTTCAATGATAATTTTGGTTTGTAGACTGATTCCAATCCCATAATATTGTATCACCGTAGAGACGAAAACCGAGACCAACTTCACATGATGTTCATAGAAATATGTATTAAAATTCAATTAACATTTTACATTTAACAAGACAACAGATACAGAAGGTAATTTCCTTTATAAATTAAACTTTTGAAAAAGTCTGATTAGTCTTACAATCACAAATATTCTCATATTCTTACCAGGGGTAACATGTACATATGTGCAAAAGTCTTTGTGTAAGGTTTCACTTGGAGACAAAATGATCATAAAACAATGGTTCCCAATCATACTTGTCTTTCAGTCAAATGTCCATCTGACTTAAGTGTGTTGCCTTCTATAGCATTGATTATTTGTTTACTACTCTTGGTAATTTGAAGAAAAGGAATTGGTGTTCACATCACCAACTTTAGGAGAAATAGCTAAAATAAACAAACAAACAAGAAAATTCATCTCTATCAAGTTATGCAGAATAAAGTTGGGGCAAAAATGTTTTGACCAGAATAACAATAATGTTCATGAGTTTCTGGTGAACTTTGTTTCAAAATAAAGACAGTAAGGCTGCTGTGAAATCTTCGGAGGTAATGAATACTGTGAAATGCTAACCAGACAGAAGATAAAAGGTCACCCAACACAAACATCACCCATACACACACTCAAACTACACACTCATTAGAGGGTTTCTGTCTGGCTCTCAGGACTCCTCAGTGGCGACGTCCAGCTTCCTCTGAGGGATGTAAACTGTGTTGGGGGCCAGTTGTCCACCTGGGGTTACCATGGCAGCCAGAGGGGAGAGGTGGACCGGCGTGTGGAAGAAGCTGTGCTGGGGGAGAGCCGTCCCTTTGGGGGTGGTCATCAGGGGCTGCGGGACAGATAGTGATTGGTAAGGGTGAGTTCAAGAGAAAATGTCCCTGCTCCAATGCAATCAGTTTTCATAGGAACTAACTTCTCCTAAATAAATGTCTGCAATGAAGTCTGAAGACCAAAACTATCCCCATTGCTACACTGGCTCCCACGCCTTTGTTGTTGTGGTATGTGCAAACTGAACCTTAAACAACACCAGCAGATGGGATTTTAAGTTGTTTCAAGGGCAAACGGCAACATATTTATCTCCCAACAGCTATTTGCCAAGTATTTCAAAATGTGTGATCTGTAAAGTAACATGTTCAGAACTTCCTATCTTTACATTGAGAAGATAATACAAAGTTGATTCCCTTTCGTAAAGTTTGTTCAGTTGGGAGAGACAGATTTTTAGAGATTGTCCCTAGTGTCGCAGACTGGGGTAAAAACCCCATTCGAATGACATATTCTGAATGCTTTTCGATATAAGGCCACATTTGTTATGTTTAAAAGAAATATGTCATGGAATATGGTTATACTCCAGATGTTATCCAAACACAAGCATGAGTTGTTACCTGTTGTAGACTGAACAGGGTCATGGGCTGCCCTGACAGAGACTGCTGCACAGGGGACACAGGTTTGATGAACACCATGCCTCTCTGCTGCAAAGCCAGAGGGCTGGCCATGCTGCTGAGACCCTCCGGGGTCTGGGGGGCCGCAAAGAGGCTTCCCGGGCTGGACCCTGAGATCAGGCCAAGGTTCTGCAGGGTGAAGTTGAGGATGGCGGGGCTGGGACTGTGGAGGCGGTGTGCCTGCTGGGTGGTGAGGGGCGAGGCGGCGGCTGGTTTGTGAAGACGAAGGCTGGTGGGGGTCGTCTCCTGGGCTAGGGCCTGTCTGGAGCCTGTGGACAAAAACAAGTGTGAAAATGTATACTATAGACCCTTCATTTGATCTAGAGTTATTAGCATGTTCAATTTGAGCTATAAAATAAAGAATCTTAGATGCATTTCACAACAAAAGAAAGCTCTGGAAGAAGGATGTTCTGTGCTAGGAAGATAAGTGTAAATATAGAACATTCACTATTTGGATGAATTAATTGTGATTTAACAATCTCCGGTTGACGCTGATTAAATTCTGTAAGATTTTTTATTTCTTACGCATTTGGACGATTGGTTGAACGAAAAAATGGACTCATATCAAGAGAAGTCTAAAATCCACCTTTCATGACGTGTTTACCTGCAGTGGGTGTTTGGTAGATGTAAGCGGGAGTTAAGGCCTTGTTGCTTTCTCTCCCTGCATCTTGGGCTTCCCTGTAGCTGATGAGGGACTGCTGGGAGATTGGGATCAGGTATCCGGCCGGTATTAAAGTCTTGGCAAGCAGAAAAAAAAAAGTCAAACTTTGCGCAGTTGGATTGACAAAAGCAACACATCTCAGTCTCTCTGTGTATTTTACCTCTGTGTGGAGCTGTCCTGGCGTTAAGGGTACGACCCTGACTGGTGTTAACCCCGCCTCGCTGTCTGAGTATGCTGTCCTGTCCTCTTTGTCCAGGAAGGTCTCCAAGCTTTGTTCTAGTGTCTGATTGGCTACAGCAACACCGGGGGTGTTGACAAACTCCGGGTCAAGGTGGAGGGCGCGAGGCGAGGGCCGGTTTAAAGGCTGAGTGCTGCGCCGGGCCTTCAGACGGGCCTGCAGGATCTCACACAGCTTTGGAGACATGTCCTAAAGGAGGTCAAAGGGAAACAGAGAGGTGGGGGAATAATCTGAATTAGGGCTGCCAAAATAATCACAATTCGATCAATATCGCAATATGGACTTCCTCTAATATCCCAAATCGCATGGAGCAGAATGTGTAAAAAATGTGTTAAGTATTGTGGCCTAATATAGCAGACTAATAATTGTATTCTACTATCATCAGAAAAACATTTTATTTGGTTGTGATCCCCTTAAGTACCACACCATGATTATTTGAATATAAACTGTAAGGAGAATTTGAATATTCTTGCAATAATGAGAATTTTCTACAATGTCAGGAATCATATCGCAATAAGAAATCTCAGCCAAAATATTGCAATTAGATCATTTAGATTGAGCAGTGCTAGCCCCTCCAGTTTTTTTATATTTATATTTGCAGAAGTCTTGCCATTTTCCACAATTCCTCAACATCAGAGTGTTGTACAAATGCACCGTTTCGATGGATGGTATTGGTATTTACCTTAAAGTTGGGGTCTGTCCTCTTGGCTTTGGATGGGCTGCCGTCTGAGGCTGAATCTGAGCGCAGCCGTTTGAGCACTAAGGGGCTGACGTCTGACGCCCTGAAGGCCGGCAGACTCTTAGCGGTGCCCTGGCCCGTCGGACTCTGCCCTGTTTTATCCTCAAAGGTCATGGAGCGCACGGCCAGGCTGGTGGGCTGCGGCCGGACCAGAGGGTTGGGCCTCGGGGACGAAGAGTGCAGGTACACAGCGAATGGCATGCCCCCCCGCTGCTGGGGCAATAGGACGGGGATGAGGGGGGAACACTGCGCTTGGATGTAGGCGAGGGAGCCTGGGGGCAGGGCTGTCAGAGGCGTGTGGGGGGTGAGGTGGATGGTAGTGTTGACTGTAGTCTCCTGGGTTGGAGTTTGAAACGGTGCTTGAGGCGGCTCCATTGAAACAGAGGAGGGGCCCAGCCTCACAGCAGCAGAGTCTGCCTCTGCAGCAAAAGGCTTTGGATCATCAGCTCCAGTCCTGGAACACAAGCAGGACTCTCATTTAACACGTAATTCATTTAAAATGATACAAATCAAAGGCTGTAGGGTAACTTTTAAATTAGCCACTGCTTTATACATTCATCGATAATGACTTAATAGTTGTTCAAATGAATGATAGGCTGCAGGAAGTCATGTAAATAGAGATGCCTCAACAATAAAGCCAGGCGGTGTCCATGATGCATTCAATCAC